ATTGAGATGGACTTGCAAAGGCTTCTGAAGAAGGGCGAGATGCGACCAATTAACAAACCAACAAAACTACTTGTTACCAATAACATCTTCTTGTTGCATCAAAACATATAAATGTTGGCTAATCTGACTAACACTAAATTTGGTAAAATGAAATGGTTGAATAATTGAAAAATGAGATTATTCAGGAATAACCATTGAATGCTAAGATTACACATTGAATTTCTAGTAGTAGATCCATAATAAAAAAAAAAGTGTTTGTGATTGTTCCAGAAGAAATGAAACAAAAGATACGGTAAAGCTATGACAGTTATTGTATGAGGTCTACCCAATGCTAGATGCAGAGGCACATAATAGATTGATATAAAGATCATGAGCTGTCCTGTAATAAAACCGGTTGTTGCTGATACTTTGATCATTCGAACCTTTCAATTCATAGATGTGGATCTCGGACCTATGAATGGGGATCATTCGATTTTAGTCACACTTTACCTTTTGAAATTTAGAAGTCGCTACTTTACTCAATGGAACTCAATTTTGATCACATTTTGCCCCTGAAACTCAAAAGTCGACACTTTACTCCTTGAATTCGATTTTGATATCATATTCTCCTAAAACTCAAAAGTTGTCACCTTACTCTCTGAAACTCAATATTCACTATACTTTGACTTGTTTATATGTATTTCGTTAAATAACCATTAAGTTTACTTTTGTGGAATAATTAAGATGACTTATGGCTAACACATGACACAAGTATAAAGCTCACGTATCCAAATGGTGCCACGTAGATTTAAATAAAAAATTTCAAACATTGCATAACATACCCTCTCTCTCTCTCTCTCTCTCTCTCTCTCTCTCTCTCTCTCTCTCTCTCTCTCTCTCTCTCTCTCTCTCTCTCTCTCTCTCTCTCTCTCTCTCTCTCTCTCTCATTGCCTATACAGAAATCCTTTCTCCCTCCATCTCCAGCCACCCTAGCTATCATCAGTTTCATTGATTTCATTATATTTTATGTTCTTATGTTTTTAATGAAGGTGGCTGGTAAAAAGAGAAGATGATTCTTTTTATTCTTTTTTATAATTTATTTATTTCAAAATCAGTATTTTGAGCAATGTCCTCCTTTGATTGTTGTCACCTACGAAAAGATTCAAAAGATGATTAAGCTACATGAACAACCTTGATTGATATGATGGATTTGCGATAAAGAAATTAAGAAGATTCAAATACATGCATGGAGATAAACATCTTCAAAAGGCTGTATTTTTTATAGCAAGTAAAAAAACGGTTGTCTTTTTCAATAGGGTAACAATAGAGAAATTAAATTTTTATATTGAATTTGTAAATTAAATGATATGTCACAATAAGAAATAAGTATATTAACATTTAATTAATAGTTTAATAATCAACAATAACATTATTTATTTTACAAAATTTAATTTATAAATTTATTTTACAAAATTTAATTTATAAATTTAGTCTCTCTAACATTATCTTTTTGCTTATTAGAAATTTGCAACGTGGTGATCAGCCATACCGATCATGGCCTCAACTTCGATGGATGGAAAATACTTGGCTTGCTGTATGTAGAAAATCATAGTTTGATGGGTGTGGAAATCTTTTGGTTTTTGTAATGTGTTTACTTTTGCTCGTCCTATATGCAATTTTATTGCTCAAGAAGAATTGCACTAAAAATACAATAGAAAATGCTAGGAATACCACATATTATTATTATATTTGCGTACCACATTATGTGGTTGTACGCTTCCTGAAGCTTGATTTCAATCACACTTTACTTCTTGAAATTCAAAAGTCGCAGATTTACTTCATGGAACTTGATTTGATCTTTTGCCCCCAGAAAAAGTCGCCACTCCATTCCCTCGAACTTGATTTTGATATCATTTTGCCCCCTAAAACTCAAAAATTGCTACTTTACTCCCTAAAACTCAATATTCACTACACTTTTGGTTTGTTTCATGTATTTGTTATATAAACATTAAGTTTACTTATGTGGCATAATTGAGGGTCCTGAGGATCCTCCAATCACACCCGTTCATCTTATATTGTGCAGCTAATTTTCGTTAGGTACTGTTTATATTCAAATTTTAAATAAAAAAAATTTACAATGATTTTTAACCGCACGATATGCACTGATGTGATTTGAGAATCCTCACTAACATGACATAAGTATAAAGTTCACATGTCCAATAAAATTGTACCACATAGAGTAAAACAAAAAATGGTTTTCAAACATTGTATAACATACTAAAAAAAGTAATAGCAAAACAATTCCTGGATTTCATCTCATCGACCACCGCCCCCACCTCTCTATACGTGTTGCCTATGCAGCAATCCTTTCTACGTACCTCTCTGGCCACCTTATCATTAGTACCAATGATTTCATTATTTCTTATGTTCTTATGTTCATAATGGAGGTGGTGGTGAACAGAGAAGATGGTTCTTTTGTTATTTTTTACTATTTATTTATTTCAGTTGGAAATTTGGCATATCACTAATTATAAATTTTGTATGGATGAACTTATTTTAAAAAATGGAATCAAGGCAATGTAACGCGAATTTTGAGTTTTAAGGAGTAAAGTAATGAGTTTTGAGTTTAAATGAGCAAAGTAGAATCAAAATCGAGTTCTAGGGAGTAAAGTGATGACTTTTGAGTTTCAGAGGGCACAGTGAGATCAAAATTGAGTTTCATGTAAAGCGATGATTTTTGAATTTCAGAAAACAAATTGTGATCAAAATCGAGTTTTTGGCACTGAAACTAAAAATAAGCCAATAACTAATGTAAGATTGGGCCATAACAAAAATAAATGATCGAAATGAAAATAGAGAAATGGGTCGGGTACTCTTGTTTGATCTATGTGCATAACATGGTTCTCTGTATGAGTTTCAAATTTAATGAAACTATTAACTATGGTATAAAAAACACATGGACCTTACGGACATTGTCTAGGAGCTGGTTGAGTGATTGTGGCATCCTTCGCCGATTAAGTGTCAAAAAAACAGAATGTGAATGCATTGTTTTGAGTATATATCTGAATGTAACTGGTGAACTCGAACTGAGTCTGATGTGTCGATCGCTCAAAGTGAATCACTTTGTAGCTTTGATTTGATTTCCAAGAGATTAAATCATTGTCTTAGGTATCCTAATTACTAAGAAATTTATTGAGCTAAGTTCTTTTTAGTAGAAAATTATGGTTGCTGATGTTAGCAATGGATTTAGTCTTTCCATTTGATATGATTTTATCTCTAAACAAGCATGATTTTAAATTAGGTGCAAATGACAAATTTTGTTTACAAGAGAAAATGGATTGGTGTATGGTTATTAATCTTTGTTTTTCTTCATTACATTATTTGATTTTTTTGGTTGTAACTGCTGTGAAGTCAAATCCGCTTGATGCACCGCGCTACTAGCAGAAGCGCGATGTTCATGAACTACTTTCTCTCAATTGCTCCTTAACATAAGATGGCATACTAGCAATAGTTGTTTGGCACAAGATTATTTAAAACTGATGTAATGGACACATTTTTCATGTCATGTCATGTTGGTTAGGTGAAGTTTATGATTCTGTTATCCGAACTGCAGTATATAAACTTGGTTATTTACTTCTCACGCCATTGAGCACAAATGGAGTTCCTACATTAAGTAATTTTCTTTATAACAAAATCGAATAAATTTAATTTTCCTTCGTATCCAAATGTATTAAATTAATTGTGAGTTGTATGACATGATGTTCACTTATGGCCTTGGCCGAGACCCCTTGCAGTTTACTGAACATTTCACCTAGGCCTTAAGCTTTCATGTTTTTCGTTAGACCAAATTAGTTGTATTGGATTCAACAATATTTCTAAAATCTCTTCTTCATTTTTTTTGGTGTGGCTTTGGTTTTTTAACTAAAATTCCATTAGATTTGGTCATTGATTATGAAAGTCTTTGACTTACTAACGGATTTGTTTGGAAATTTCAGAAATTTGGATTGTTGGAGGAAGAAGTTGTTTCCTTGCCATTTTGAGGTATATAATTATACACCCTCATTGTTATTCAAAGCCTAATTAGTTATTTACATTTTTTAATTTATCCTTGTAAACCTTTCATGCTTGGATTTTAAATTATATAATTCAATTTTGTTCGTTTGAACTTAGAAGGAACTGGGCTTCTTTCTATTTTGTGCGTGTATGTATCTGTCCATTTATGTAAAGCTTGAGATAACTGAGCATGTATTTGTTCTAAATCCCAATCAAATTGAATGGTTGGTGTATTTGTTCCAAACGGCATTCGAGTTGGATGATTGGTGTATTTGTTCCAAACCCCATTAGAATTGTATTTGTATTTTTGCCATTTATGGATGATTGGTGTATCTGCTGTGATTGTCAGATTGTGTATGTTGGTTATTGCTTAACTGAGCAAATAAAGTGAGCAAAAAAGTAGATGCTATGTCAGTGTATATCAAGGGGCAAGGGGGAGTGTAGCTGTGAAACATATGATTATATTGATCAGGGATGATGAGAATAGCGTAGTCCTAACTGAGCAGTGTATGTTAGTAACTCAGTGTAGATGCTATGCTTTGAATTTAGTGAATTTTTTTGGGCAAGGGTTTTCGATTTTTTTTGGTGAATTTCTCTTTCTTCATTTTATTGTTTGGTTGTACAAGAATAGAAACCTTCGGTATAGAAACTTCACATCCTCCGTCTTTTTGTTGAAATTATTCATGCCTGTCTTATGTTATGGTTTCAAAACCCAAGCAACGCGCGGACAATTTTCTAGTACATTCTATAACTAGAGGGCGGCACTTTAGTATCCAATCTCATAGCATCCACCTGCTTAGGGCCAGCCCTAAATTATTACAACTAAAATTATCTCAGTTTTTTTTCTTCTCAGAGAACTTAATGTGAGCGCCATCCCCGAATGCCAACATAGGACTTCAAGAAATCCTATTGAACAATATGGAAAAATGATTTAAGCTCTGTCAAAAACCAGAAATCGAAAAAATGATTTAAGCTCTGTCACAAAACATGTAGGCAGAGTCTGGATTTGCTACTTCTGGTGAGATGCTGAGATCAAAATACGAGGGGAGTGGTGAAATATACCTATATTTGGTGACCAAAACATGAAGAAAGGTGGACAAGAACGCTCTGGCGTACTCAGCCCCAGCACATTGCCTTAATCCGTCACCAAACGGCATGAAGTTCTTAGATATAACAAGGGAATCAAGGTCCTAATAACACACAGAACATAAATACGCAAACAAAGTTAGCGCTGTAGGATAGTTTTATGATTGTGATCAGATACTCAATTTTCAAAGACAGACGCGTACTTGCAACGCCATGGATTGAACTCCAATTGATCCTAACGTGTCGGAAGTTAAATGAAGAGCAGGGGTAACAAGCAAAATCGTCCACCCAGCCGGTATTGTGTATCCTTGAAAGCATTTACAAACATTTAATTGACAAACTAAACTAGTATTTTTAAGTAGGAAGTAACAAGGGGCCTAACCAATTTTAATTGAGGACTTACCATTTACCGGGATATGCTTTACGAAACAAGCCTGGGCTACCATTACTCAGCCTAAGAGTTTCATTGACAACCTATAGTTTCCCAAAGTCCAGCAAGTTATAACACTTACTCTATACTAATGTTCAAGGTAGAAAACAACACGAGTTAAGAGAACTAACATGGTGGGTAAAAGTCATCGATTTATATTCGTCCACCGTAAGTGCAGAATTTGGATTTTCTCTATTTTTTTAGCAGTACCTCATGCTCAGGATACTGTGCAAGTAAACTGAAAAATAATGTCAATACTGCTGAAATAGTCTAAGGGTAACGAGTAAGCCCCCAAATAACAACTGTACACACAAGTTCTCCGACAAGTTTCAAAGTATATCCCTGCAATGTGTCTAAATCACATTTGTTTCATGAATATCTATTATCGTTGTATTAACGTGCTAGTTGAGACATATGATTAAATGCATGTTAAAAGGTACCTTGCACAATCAAGGGATATATCGTATTAAACTCATAAGTTATATATGAATAAGACATGTATCAGGTTTTTAATCTGCTACCCAGATTTTTGTTTGCAATTTGTTTTATAAAATGACATGCTACTGCACACTCAATCTATATTAGGACTGGTTAACAATTTCCATTTAATATATGTGATGAAACCGAAAACAATTGATATAAATAACTAAAACTGGAAAAACTATTCTTATATATCAATACTTTTGTTGCCTAATATTTTGCATAAATCATGCCAAAATTGCTTTCAGTTTTTCAATTCGATAGCAGCTATTTTTCATATCATGCATATATAGAATTAATGCATGGTTAAGATCCTGGATGAAATTAGTTTCACATGTTTTAAAACATGGCGTCTAATTAAAACAGAAAATTGTATGTTTTCTCTTACTTTACTAAATAAGCATGCTTGTCGATAGAAAATTTTATTATTAAGACATGCAAATAGTTATGATAAGATCAATGTTTTTGAGATGTTCTTGGGTGAATGGGACACAACAAATCCATTCTATTGATTCAAGGGCTGCTAAAAATTCATAGTTTAGTTGATTGAATTGCATTAGAAGTCATAACAATATGACTATATCCCCAAACAACAATGCGACTAGTCTTACTGGTTCTACTAGTGGCTTAGTGTAAAGTATGGACTCTGTGAAACCTGTGACAACTGATTGCCAAACGAAGGTTGTGACACCCCATCCTAAATTTGTCGTATTTTATTTTATCGAACTTATGAAATTACCAAATTGCCGTTGAGGCATGAACATTGACTTTCGTTGACCATATCGTCATGACGTGTATTACTAATTTTCTTAGTTTATTCTTATTGTGCTCATTACCACTAATGCGTGGGCACGAACATATTCGAATTTGGAGTTACAACGAAGATTTTACATTACGAAACGTCGAATGTTTTTCGAATATTTCATGTTTCCTCTTTAGTGAACTTAATGTGTGAGCCACTAGGGCTCACAATAGATTCTTGTCCCCCAATCCCCTCCCTTTTCCCTGTGACCCTCTCTTCCCTCTTCCATCTTCCCTCTATTATTTTCTGAAAATATCCCTCTCTCTAAGTTCTCTCTCAAACCAGCCTTCCCCGAGGGCACCAGAAGCACGCAACAACAACCATGACTACACCACCACTCTCCCTTGTAGTCCCTACTAGTTTTTAAACCAAAAAAGAAAAGAAAAACATTTCGAAAACTCTCCCCGTGTTGCACAGTGCATTTACTATGCAACGAACTTCTTCAACGATTTCTCGCCATCTCTGACGAAGGTAAGCATCAAAATTGGTCCCTATTATTGTAGATTATGTCTAGGTTCACGATTAGTAAGTTTTTGGGTGGTTTTGGTGGTGCATAAACACATAAAAGCTCAAAGAAATTTACTGTGCAAATCTAGAATTTTTTAAGCCTTAGTCATTTGGCCATCTTCTGGCCAAATCTAGCCACCATTATGTCCCAACTTGGTAAGAATCTCTTCTCCACATTCCTAATTACATTTTGGCCTTTGAATCACTCAATTTGGACTTGTATCGAGCTCGGAATGGGCTCTTGAAGTTGGGAGAAAAATTTGAGAAATTCCTAGAATTTTGAAGGTGGCTCGTAGGCCGCACATGGGTGTGCATAGAGGGCTGCCATGGCCACCGCATAGAGCACACGCGTCTCTACCAGAGGTACTGTGCTCTATCACCGTCCATCTTAGAGCATGCCCTCCTAGGCCACCGCCCTGTGGTGGCGCATGGGGGAAACCGAGGTCCATCCTTAGGTTTTTCATTCGTTTTCCCAAGTTCAATTGTGTTAGTAGAGTTTTATTAATTGGTCCCTTTATGTGCTTAGGTGCATTTGTTAGTGGTGTTTCCATCCTCCGTAGTTCGAACGGCTCTTCGGTGACGAAGTATCTGTGAGTGGACCCTTTCCAAAATGCATAATTTCATTACTAGAAATGCATACATGAAAAGCATGATTTTATGACTACATTTTAAGAAACGTTTATTGAGTTATCGGTTTTACGCTTTATGAAATGTCATGCTTTATCGAAATTATGTTACTAAGATATTTAAGATTATGATTTATGATATGATGTTTGAGCTATTAAGCTCTGATGAGATATATTTTGGAAAGATTATGTTTATAATTTGTTGTGCTTAGTGGATATTTAGATATATATACCTTCAGGTCATCAATGTAGGGCCATTGGGGGGAAGATTTATATATGCCTTCAGGCGGGCGATGTAGGGTCTTTGGGTGATTGTGATACCACTATGAAGCACACTATATATGATATATGTTTTATGAAGGTTTTATGGCATGCTAGGATTTTCAAAAAACCTATTACTTATTAGCTATATGAGTTTTTCTAAAACTAGGGGTTAGTACGTTTGAAGAGTAATTGTTTCAGTATTACTTATATATAAACTTGGTCCACTCATGCTTTGTTTTGTGCCCCCTCAGGATCTAGGAACGAGGCATACGACTCGAGCTACGAGGCATTCCCATATCAATGAATTTGTGTCTTCCTCTCTACATAGGACATCTCTTGCAATCGCACTTTCTAATATTCCTTTCGCTTGTATTTCAAATTAGTAGTATGCTTTTAATATGTCATGCATTATCACTTTTAAATTGTTGGCAATTGAATATTATATTTTATTAAGGTTTGTACTTGAATATTATATTGCGTAGTTACACGCGAAATTATTATGCACGTTTCACATGTTCTCAGCGTATGCATTCATACAATGGCTTGCATCACCCTCGGGTGTCGACCAGCTCGTGACCATCTAGTTGTCCTTCAGACACCAGGACCGAGGCGTGTTAAATTGGTATCAGAACATATTTAGGACTTCATTCTTTCCACTTAGTAGTCATAATCCTTCACGCAACCACAATATTTCGTCTTTCTAAATCTTTTTTGCCTCTTATTAGAATCATGGATACTTATGGTGGGAATGTGCCTCGTTGGCCTTGTTCTGGTTTAAAAGGTGGAATTCAGCAATTGACCTCTGCTCTACGACATGATTTCCCTAAGAATAGCAAGCAGAGTCATACTTACATGGAAATTGCTCAGATCCACGGTGTTACTAAGTTGAATGTAGTTGGTGCTTGTGAAAAGGCCGAGGATTGGTTTGAGTAAATGGAGGACACTTTGGAGGGTATGTCCTACCAGTGGCTGAGTAGGTGAAGACGACATGTTACTTTCTCCATGGTAATGCGAGATTTTGGTGGAAATTAGTAAAGGATTCTCGGCCACCTAACTCGATGATGACTTAGGCTACTTTCAAGAAACTCTTTAGTAAACACTTTTTGAGCCCCAAATACTAGTTGAGAAGGAGAGAATTCTTAAGTTTTTGCCAGGGCAACTTAACGATTATAGAGTTGGATAATACTATTTGACGATTGGCGAGACACCACCTTCTGGTCTATGGGAACCCTCGACAGATGATTGTACAACTTGAAATTGCTCTGAATGATGACATCTGTGAACTTTTGGCACCACAAACTTATGCATCCTATAAAGAGATGATTCAAACAGCTTTGAAGATTGAACAGTCTCGTTATAACAGAGTTACCTAGAATTAGCCTCGAAATCAGAATCAGCGAGGTTGAGGTTTCAAATCTCGGAGCATGACGAAGCCTTTCACTTTTTCTTCTTTTTTGGCCCTAGACACTCATTTTCATTCAAACGTTGTGGTCAAGGTTTGGGATCTTCCAATGAGGGATCTGGCAATGAGATGATGAGATAGTCTTTCAGTTACTTTAATCTAGCTGTCACGGTTTGTGCGCGTTGTGGTATGCGTCATCGGGGAGAATGTATTACAGATGCAAGCACATGTTTCAGGTGTGGTGGCACTATACACATTGCCTGTAATTGCGCTACTACGCACTCACTTGAGAATCTTACTTTTGGTTCAGGTTATGGTGGAAGTAGTAGTTCAGGAACTCAGAATCATGTTCAGAGACAATCGCAGTATTCTAGTGCAACTTCTGGCATTTGTACTTAGGGTACCGAGCAGGCCCCAATACGTAGGATGCTAGGACTCGTGGAAGTCGTAGTGGTGGTTCATGACGACAAGCCCACAGACTTATCAATGCCATGACTCAGCGGGAGGCAAAGCAGGATCCCAAAGTCATCATGGGCACGTTACTTGTTTTTTGTCATTGGGCTCATGTTCTGATTAATTCGGATGCTACATATTCTTTCATATCTCCACCATTTGCACAGGTTGTGAACCCGTAACCTACATCCCTTGGGTTTGATATGTTTATACAATTGCCTATGGATATTTATTTTGTGCACAATGGGAGTTTAGGGATTGCCTAATTATTGTCGAAGAGAACTTATGGATGCCAATTTGACTCTTTTTAAACTAGTGGAGTTCGATATCATTTTGGGAATGGATTGGCTATCCAAACACAATGCGGATGTCAATTATAAAGATAAATTGATGACATTTGATTGGTCTAGACGACCAGCAATCACATTTCAAGGTGAGCGAAGGATTCTTCAAAATAGTATTATTTCTGCCATCAGGATGACGAAGTTATTACTGAAGGATTGTGAGGGATTCTTGGCTCATATGGTCACCAAGGGTGAACCTTCTTCGTGTGCTGAGGATGTGCTAGTGGTGAAAGAATTCACCGATGTTTTTCCTGAAGATTTTCCAGGGTTACCACTTGCAAAGGAAGTTGAATTCACCATAGACTTAATTCCAGGTTCTAACCCTATTTCTTTATCACCACATCAAA